ACATCAGAGACTATTGAGGAAAATTAAAGCACATGGAATAGGAGGAGAAATTTTTTCCTGGATAGAGGCATGGTTGACAAATAGGCAGCAGAGAGTTTGCATAAATGGGGAGAAATCAGAGTGGGGAAGCGTCACGAGCGGTGTTCCACAGGGTCAGGTTGGGCCCCTGCTGTTCACAATCTACATAACGACATAGATGAGGGCATAAAGAGCGACATCGGCAGTTTGCCGATGCACCAAAATAGGCCGTCGAATTCATTCTGACTGAGACATTCGAGCACTCCAGGAAGATTTGAATAGACTGATGCAGTGGTCGGAGAAGTGGCAGATGCAGTTTAATATAGACAAATGCAAAGTTCTAAATGTTGGACAGGACAATAACCATGCCACATATAAACTAAATAATGTGGATCTTAATATTACGGATTGCGAAAAAGATTTAGGAGTTCTGGTTAGCAGTTAATCTGAAACCAAGACAACAGTGCATAAGTGTTCGCAATAAAGCTAATAGAATCCTTGGCTTCATATCAAGAAGCATAAATAATAGGAGTCCTCAGGTTGTTCTTCAACTCTATACATCCTTGGTTAGGCCTCATTTAGATTATGCTGCACAGTTTTGGTCACCGTATTACAGAATGGATATAAATTCTCTGGAAAATGTACAAAGGAGGATGACAAAGTTGATCCCATGTATCAGAAACCTTCCCTATGAGGATAGACTAAGGGCCCTGAAACTGCACTCTCTAGAAAGACGTAGAATTAGGGGGGATATGATTGAGGTGTATAAATGAAGACAGGAATAATAAAGGGGATGTAAATAGTGTGCTGAAAATATCTAGCCTAGACAGGACTCGCAGCAATGGTTTTAAGTTGGAAAAATTCAGATTCAGGAAGGATATAGGAAAGTAACTGGTTTGGTAATAGAGTTGTGGATGAGTGGAACAAACTCCCAAATACCGTTATAGAGGCCAGAACGTTGTGTAGCTTTAAAAAATAGGTTGGATAAATACATGAGTAGATGTGGGTGGGTGTGAGTTAGACCTGATAGCTTGTGCTACCAGGTCGGTTGCCGTGTTCCTCCTTAAGTCAATGTGACCTGACCTGACTAGGTTGGGTGCATTGGCTTAAGCCGGTAGGAGACTTGGACCTGCCTCGCATGGGCCAGTAGGCCTTCTGCAGTGTTCCTTCGTTCTTATGTTCTTATGTTCTTAAGTGGGCGAAATCCGATTTGAAAATATCCCCAAGGCCTAACTTCGGAAAAGCGTTTTTTCCCCGTTTTCCATCAAATTTCGTTTTTTTGGTGTCATTACAATGGGGGAAAAGATTCTCTATCATTTCTAAAAAAAAATTTTTTTTTTTTTTTTTTTTTAAATTTTGCACACCGGGGAGCACCCAGAATTTGGGGGGTTGCGCAGTAAAGGATTAAGGGAAAACCCTTTTATGGGAAAAATGGGGAAGATTTATTGGTGAACTAGGAAACCAATGGCATTGGGTGTAAGGAGAGTAACAGAATTGGGGGAACAGAAATAGGGAAAGAAAAAAGAGAAAAAGAGGCGAATTGAGATTGTTGGAGTGGGGAACATTGATGTTTTTGCAAACTGGAGGGTTTTAAATGTGAAAAAAAAGGGACATCCCCTGTGATGTCAATTCAGGTTTAAAAATTGTTCCATATAGACAAAATATGGGAAAAAGGGGGGGGATGGACTATTGCCCGGATCGTTTAAGTTGTTGCATAAAAATGGTATAAAGTCCGAAAACATATGAGTCGTTTGGGTAGAATTTTCAGGGGGCCGAAAAATTAATTTTGGGCTGTTTACCGTCCCCAAATTGGATGAGCCCAAGGAAGACTACTGTGGGAGGAAATTTAAGGCCAAAGGCACGGTAATGTTTAATTCTAGAAAATTTTAAATTTGTCAGATTTCTGAATTTTTTGACAGGGAATTTGGAATTAATGACTTTTTTTAAGTTCAGGTTGTTTTTTTTAAGCAGTTTGTGACGGCCACAAGGGGTAAAAACCTGTTTATTTTTGGGTTTTGGCAAACAAGAAATCACTTTTTAAAAATTTAAAATTTCAACGAAAATTGGTGCTAGCGACACAAAACAATTACCCTTTTGCATTGAATGGAAATAGAATTAGGGTTAACTCGTACGTCCCCCGATTTTTTGCTTAGCATTACAGTGGGCTTAGAGAACATTTCACTGTTTACTGGGGGGAACGAAGAAAGCTAAATTGAGAGTTTTCTAAACATATGCATGCTGCCCAAAAAAATTTTTCCCATATAAAGAAATTAAACGAATAGAAATGACCCCAAAAAGGTGAATAAAAGGGTCAAATTTTCTTTTTGGACAGAAAAAAGGAATTTTTAAAACGCTCAAAAGAGGTGAGGGCATCTTATGAATCAGAAAAGAATTAAAAGGGACATTTTAAAGGGGGGTAAGAAAAGCTAAACGGGGGCTATAAATTAAGTTGCTAGGGGTTCGAAAACTAGCCAGAAATTTTTTCCCTGTTTATAGAACAAATGTTAGAGATAAATAGGCCCCCCTTAAAAATAATTGGCCCTCTTACAGACAAGGAGAAAGAAATTGCTCTATTCTTTAAAAAATTTTTTTTCTTGTTTTATCGGAGGACCTAAAAATATCCCCGAAAAAAATTTTTTAGTGGGCTTGAAGACTAAAAATTATGCAAAATCATAGTCACTGCAAAAAGGTATTTAAACAGAAAAACCGACTGAAACAAAATAAATCCCCAGGGCCCCGTGAACTTTTTTCCGGGTTCTTTCCTTTGACTGTCGCAGGCCCCCTTTTGAAATGTATTCTAGTCCCCCAAAAAATTTGAAAAAAAAACAATTATTTTTTTTTTGAAAATGTTAGGTTTTATTCGAGGGTTTTAAAACCCGAAAAATTTTTTTTTTCCTCAGTATTACCGAGATTAGAGCCGCAAAGTTTGGGAGAAAGTGAGGTGGTCGGCAACAGCGGCAAAATGGCCCACCCGGGTTTTTTTTATTTACTTTAAATTTAAAAGTTTCTTTTATTTTCCAATATTTTTTTTTCCCGAACTTTGTGGCCTGTGAGCCCCTGAAGGGGCTTTTTTCAAAAAAAACACTCATTGTTTACAACACAAAAACGAAAAACTTTACCACTATTAGTTTGTGTAACACTTTTTTTTACACAAACAAACAATCAAAACAATGTTTTTACTATTTTCCATAATATATATACATATGTCGTCATGAACACGTTTTTAGAACTGCTGCAGCTTTGGGGAACTCTGAAACATGGGGATTGCAGAGTGGCATTGACATCCCCACAATAAAACGAGTGCCTTGGTGTTTTGGGCATTTTGTGATATGTGTAATACATAACACCTCTTCTGACATTTTTTTTTGGCAGTTTAAAATTTTTGG